TGACTATAATATGATATCAGTATATCCTTTATAGATGATCGTTATAGGTATCAGATTGAGATTTATAAAAATTGGTTTGTTTATTTATTCGATGCATACTTACATTATTAAGAGGTTGATGATAACAATATAAGATATATTTCGTATTGTAGAATTCCCATTTTCATGAAAAGGAAGAGATGTAGTATTTCATACAAATGACTAATGTTCGATATGTTATCATGTGAATGATTAATCTGAATAAATCACCGAATGTGACGTTGGGCCGTTAGGTAACATCAGCACAAGAAGGCAGTTGTGATCGGACGGTCGGGCGGAGTGAAAGGTGTCATTGAGTACAAAAGTGTTTTATTGATATTCACCCTATACCTCATAAGTGACAGACATTACAATTACGATTCCTGAAATTACTTCTCAAATTATTATTTCTGAAATAGCTAGCATTATTTGTCGGACTACCCCTTTTATTACCACTATAGTTTCCTCTAAAATTACCTCTGTAACCTCTATACTGATTACCCCTTAAGTTATTATGAAATTGTCCATATCTAACTCTATTTTGGTTTGCGTGGCCTCCCGAGTGAAAAGTACCGCGAGGATTAGCTCTGTTGTAGTGTTTTTGACCCGCTATATGAAAAACTTTCTGATATTCTCTAATTGTTAACTCCTCATCTTGAGCACCTCTTATAGCATCACGTAATTTCGAATAATTCCTAGCCTTAATAATTGTCCTCAAATCATGATTCCGAAGCCCACTTGCAAATGTATTTATGGCAATTTTTTCATTTACTGGTCTCAAAACTCGAATTGCGTCCTCATCACCTTCTGATTGAGTAATCGTCAGATCTACTAGCAATTCCTCAACTGATTTTCCGAACTCTTCAGCTGATTTATTTCCTTGCGTTGCCTTATTTAGTTGCATTGACAGCGCTGATGCTGCTTTTTTTGTCAAAAAATGTTGCTTTAGGTCACGAATTAACTCTGCAGTTGTGGTGTAATCAGCATTCAATCTTATTTTCGCACTCTGGGACAATCTTGTTTTGAGAATATATGTGATCAATAATCTTTTACCATTAGCGTCTAGTAAACTATCATATAATTCTATGGAATCTATTAATTGTTTCGTAGTCGTTTCATTACCATCCATAGCAGGCAACAAACTTGCTGCTGTTCTCAAATCAAATTTTTCTGCCATGATGCTTACAAAGTTACTATTTGAAATTATAGGTATGTTTTCTTCAACTGTAGCTGATACTCTCTCGTTCAAAACAACCTGAATGGCTTCAAAATACTTATTGATCTGATATAAGTATGCCCTAATTTCTCCTAACTGATTTTGATCTAACTTATGCCTATCAACTGAGTTTTTCAATCCTAAACATTCTGCCTTCAACCTATCTAAATTACTTAACTCACGTTGTGTTACATTCGCATCCTTACGTCTGTCACTGTTGTCTTTCCCGAGATTTCGATGGAACACTCTCAATTCCTCGAGAAGGTACCGGAACTCGTTGATCCTAGGCATGACATTTTTTTGTTATCCATAGTTCGACAGATCACCATTCAAGTCACTGCTCAATACACTGTCCAATACACTGTCCAATTCAGTGTCCATTTTACTGTCCATTCACTGTCCAATTTTCTGTCCAAATCACTGTCTAATTCACTGTCCATTCACTGTCCCATTCTCTGTCCAATTTTGTCCCGATTTTAACAATTTTGTTCTATTCAAACTTCTTCTCTGCTCCTGGACATTTCTTCTCTGATTTTCCTCTCTAACATTTTCTTGCATCTGGTCACGCAGACAAATGAAATGAGTACTATTGCCAGTACAAAGACTACAACATACAACAACATACAATTGATGTATTTTTTTTTAACATGTAATTTTTTTATGTCTCATCTGGGTGAATGAATACAAATACGATACAAATACAATATGATACACAGTATGTCTTTTGTTGAAAACGACGACCAACCCGTGCTATTAGTCGAGCCACCACTATCACCAGCCTGTGCGATAATCACTTCAGTTAGACATACAGTTGCTGAATCATTGATATCTATAATAGATCGTTGTCTTTCCATCAATGACTCTATGGCTTGGTTATATTTACTATCATTCCCTTATAAAACATTGTGCTCACCAAGATTTGGAACAAGGAATATATCGCTTTCGACTTTGATACGGAAGAATCTTTCAACTCTCGATACCTCGACTTCAGATATCATATCTAAAACACCTAAAATATACAAGAACAATCTCAAATCATTGGTGGAAAGGAAGATGATAGATGGAGATGTTCGTGGCGCAGTTAGAATTTCATCATCAGATGATTCTGTAGTTTTTCCTTCTGAAGAAATTTATCATATTTTGAAATCCAAACATCCGGATGCACTTAAAGATGCCATTTTTCCAAATGATCCTGAATTGACCCAACACGATTTTGATGCAGTTACAGGAAAAGAAATCTTGAATGCAATAAAGTCCTTTCCCAATGGTTCTGCTGGAGGATTAGATGGTTTGCGACCTCAACATCTGAAAGACATGACATCAAAATATCTTGGTGTGACTGCTGAGAAATTATGTGATCGCTTAGCATCTTTGGTGAATACTATGTTGAAAGGCGATGTACCTCAGGACATATCCAATATTCTTTATGGTGCCAAGTTGATTGCTCTGAAGAAGGAAGATGGTGGTATTCGCCCTATAGCAGTTGGAAATACTTTGCGTAGACTTGCCGGGAAAGTTGTGAGTAGCCGCGTTTACGAATCAATGGGTGATTTATTAAGACCTACACAAATGGGATATGCCTCCAAAGGTGGAATTGAAGCTGCTGTTCACGCCACTCGTTCTTTTATTTCGATGGCGAAAAATACGCAAGTATCATTGAAGCTGGATTTCAAGAATGCCTTCAATTCTGTTTACCGAGAGAAGCTCCTTCAAAATGTCCAAAAATATCTGCCACAATATTATAAATTCATTTGGAACTTATATCGTGACCCTACATCACTGAATTTTGGAGATTTTTCACTAAATTCTCATCGTGGAATTCAACAAGGCGACCCTCTAGGCCCTTTATTATTTTGTCTTGCAACAGAGGATTTAGTCAATTCAGTAAAATCTCCTCTCAACGTTTGGTATCTTGATGATGGAACAATAGCTGAAAATGTCAATTCTGTTCGAGATGATTTTGGGAATATTCTTAGAATGGGCAAAGAAATTGGTTTGGAATTGAATATATCTAAATGTGAAGGCTTCATTTATGATGGTGATGATTTTTCGAAGAAAAAAGTACTCATGGCTGTTGAACAATTTGCCCCTGGTATTAGATTCCCCACGCATGATAAATCAAAAATTTCATCAAAGTTTACCTCAACTCAGTTCACATCATGCTCTTTTCATCCTTGAAAATTGCCTGGGAGCTTCAAAAATTCTGCATTTGATGAGATGTTCTCAAACATGGACGAGAAAAAAAGAACTATCTGATCTCGATGACATCCTGCGTTCTTGTCTGGTATCCATCACCAACACTAATTTGGATGATCAAGCTTGGACTCAAGCAAGTTTTCCAGTGAATAAAGGTGGTCTCGGAATACGTCGTACAGAGGAACTAGCTCTCCCAGCCTATTTGACTTCGGTTCACTCTGTTGCCGGTCTGGTTACCAGTATTATTCCTGAGTTCGTGGTCGAGAATGAAGCTTCCTCACCAATTAGAGAGTGGTGCAGATTAACTGGGTTACCTTCACCTTCTACTTCAGTTCAAAAACTTTGGGATAGTCCACTAGTAAATAAAGCTTGGGACAGAATCATATCTTCCGCCTCCGTCCGTGATAAAGCTAGACTTCAGGCAGTTTCATTGAAAGAGTCTGGATCATGGCTCAATGCATTCCCAATACCTAGCCTTGGTAATTTCCTCGATGACAACTGTCTGAGAATTTCTGTTGCATTACGTCTGGGTGCAGCCTTATGATGTTCATATAAATGCATTTGCGGTACTGAAGTTGATGTATATGGTCATCATGGATTGAGCTGCAATAAGAGTTCAGGAAGATACATGCGTCATTCAGCAATCAACGATGTGATTAAACGAGCTCTCATCTCTGGAAACGTTCAAAGTATCCTAGAACCACCTGGATTGTGCCGTGATGATGATAAACGACCTGATGGAATGTCATTGATACCTTGGAAGCGTGGAAAAGCACTGATTTGGGATGTCACCTGTGTAGATTCTTTAGCAGATTCCAATATAGTTTCATCTATCAAAGCTGCTGGAACCCCTGCATGTGAGGCTGAGAAAAGAAAGTGCGGAAAATATAAATGTTTGGAAGACAAGTTCATCTTCATACCATTAGGGTTCGAAACTTTTGGACCTTGGGGACCTTCAGCCACAGAAATGATTTCAACTATTGGCCATTTGATTTATTCTCAAAGCAGTGAAGCTAGATCTACTGAATACCTTCGCCAAAGAATTTCAATTGAGATTCAGAGAGGCAATGCTGCTTGCATTCTCAATACTATACCATCGAGCAAAGGTCTCGAAGAAATCTTCTATATACTGGGTGATGCATTTCCAATAAGAACCCGGACTTGTGCAAGCAGATCTACACAAGAAAATCCATGTAAACTCGTTAAACCCATCCATGCTGTTGATCTCCCACCCACGCCAAGTGTCGTTGAGTCATATTCGAGTAACCTGTCAACCTATTCAAAACCATCTGGTCAACCATCTGAAAATCAAAATTCAACATCGATATATCTCCGATCCAGCGATGAAAATTGTGAATACTGGTTCAATGACTGTCCAATTTCCTGGAAGAAATTTGGTCTTAACGGCTTGAGGAACACTGGGAACACGTGTTTCATGAACAGTATCATTCAGTGCATGTCTCACACTAAGTGGTTGTTGGAGTATTTGATGATGGACTTATATAACAGAGATATCAACACAAGCATATCCAGCACGAAGGGATATTTGATGAAGGCTTTTGCAGAAGTCATGAAAGAACTGTGGTCGGAAGATTCGACTGACCAAGGTGTCAATATGAACTCTTTGAAGTGCACAATCCAAAAATTTGCGCCGTGCTTCATCGGTAATGCACAGCAAGACGCACAAGAGTTCATGCGCTCTCTGCTCTTGAGTTTGCACGAGGATATCAATAAGGTCATCGAGAAGTCCGATTCTGAGTTCACAGATATCGTAGAAATTGTGGATGTCAACGAAAAGGCTTTGGAATCGTGGTCGAGATTCTTGAAAGTGGAGAATTCGGAGATAGTCAATAATTTCGTTGGTCTGCTTAAGTCTTCATTGAAATGCACGTATTGCGGCTATTCCTCAGTGACGTTTGATCCCTTTTAGAATTTGTCATTGCCAATACCACAGCGAACGCGCCAACTAAGTTTGTTCCAGTGCTTGGACTCATTTACCAGAGAGGAGTCATTGGATGGCGAAGACAAGCCTACTTGCTCCAAATGCAAGGAAAGGCGAAAGTGTACAAAGTCATTATCTATCCAGAGGTTTCCTGAAATTCTTGTCTTCCATCTGAAACGTTTCTCGCTGGATCTGTTCGTAGAAAAACTGAACGTCACAGTTGATTTCCCTTTAGAAAAACTGGATATGAGCTATTACGCAGCTGATGGAAGTGTACCGTTCCACTACGATCTATATGCTATTTCAAACCATAGCGGTACCATCAACAGTGGTCACTATACGGCCTACTGCAAACATTCTCACTCGAGCATCTGGCACGAATTTAACGATTGTCGTGTTTCTTCAATTTCATCAGATTCGATCATCAGTAACAAAGCGTATTTACTATTTTATCAGAAAAATACCCAAGTTGTAACAGCCACCACTTCCACAAGCAAAGGCTGCTCTTCGAGCACCAAACCCGATCAATTCTCAAATATCACCCAGTCGCAAGACAACACCAAGTTTATCCTTGATGATTCCAGGAAAAGTTTTGCTTCGGATCTAGGTATCAACCAACCTAGTTCGAAAGATGGGCATGTGGGATCTTCAAATTTAGTCTCATCTACTGAGTCAAAACCTAGGAGGAGAGGAAGGCCCAAAAAAAAGCCTTTTAAAGATGAACTAGAACTCTTGGTGAATAGGCCAGCACATTATGAATCAGGCAGGCCGAAACGCACCTGTGTTGGTCAATCTACTCAGCATGAAATCGCCGGCCAGCACTCTGAAGATTCACAAGAATCGAGGACCTATAGTTGTCGAGGCTCTTGTTAGCATGAACCTGGGGCAACTATATATTTGGAACTTCAAATTTTTCTTTCAACTTCATGAAATGTACTTATACAATTTATTTTCCTCGTCATTTATCAATTTCCGGTGGATCCGACACTGTTCATAGTGTGAAATCTACTCCGTACTATTATATTTAGAGAAATAAAAAAAAAGCACAAAAAAAAAGAATGTCGTGTTCTACATCTCATGAAATCAATCAATCAAGGTATATTTTGATATAAGTAACCATGAAACAGCATGTAGTGCATAGTCAACAATATTCTGTTTGAAGACCTACATAATTATTCTAATCAATAATGAAATGTGTTATACATATTAATTCTCAAATAATAACAATAGGTACCTATAAACCTACATCACACTTCAAATGTCCGCAGCCGGGATTTTCTCAACGAGGTTTAAGCGATATCCCACGAAGAAATTCACATGCAATACCTTCAGGCGAGTTCTTAGGGAAATTCGCATACAGAACCTCGTTCCGAGATCTTTAAGAGATTCGCATCAATTTCCACTGGTGCAAACTCCAAGTATTCACAGAACCGAATTATTCGAGATATTCGCACACATAGCCTTGTGGCGAGTACTTCAGGACATTCGCATCAATTACTACTGACGAGGTTTGTTAGTGTGCGCAACTTGGATTTATTTAAGATATTCCCACCCTAGACTTGCGGTGAGAAATTCGGGAGATTTGCGTCAATTTACTCGCAACTACGTGTGAACCAAGGAATGCACGAAAATTGCTCCTGTCGAGGCCTCTGAGAGTTCGCATCACGACATTCTCATGAGTATCATTTTGCGAGTTCCTCGAGATATCCGTGTTTATATTCAAGTTACCAAGGATTTTTGTAGTATTCATAGGTTACCAGCAGTCGGCTGTCGCCATAGTGTAACTAGCGCCAGCTGTTTTGAATCCAGCTAGGAAGAATTCACCATTTTGTTCCAGCCAGGTAACTCCGTGAGTTGAAGCTCACGGGCTCTTGCGCTTATGAAATGGAAGCATAGAGCATAGTTGATAGGTATATGATGGTGATTGATCAAATATGCAAGGTAAGGTATCAAAACAGATTATTCATTTTCAGAAACAATTCTGAAATGAAAAGTCATGACTGAAATGTTTCTGCATTATTCATGAAATCATTCTCCTCAAACTGTTTGAATCACGGTTCTTCACCCTGTACTTGATTGTTACATCATTATCATCTTGTACACTGACTATGTTAAACAAGTTGATCAATTTTTTTCCGGAAAAGTGGGGGATATAGGTCTTTCAGAAATATTGAAATCATACTAGTTTGTACCACAGTTTAGAGAATATTTATTCTCTAAACTGTGTTTTTACCTACCCTTATGAGTATATATGGTTGAGAGGAAGTTACAGAGCGTTAAGGTTCATCAGGTCGAAAGGTAAATTTTTTACGCAATATCTCAGTTTGTATATGACGAAGTATATTTTTCTCTTTCGAACTCCTCACATCTGATTATGGAAAAGGATCATATACCAGGTGAGTCAATAGTGTGTTCTCCATCGATATTAGCCAAACTGTCAGATATATAGGAAAAAATAAAAAACAACATGGTTTCATGAGAACTATCACCTTAAATTTTGTTCATATATATAGGGTGTTCGAATTCCAAGATATCGGCATATGATGTTTTTTTAATGGGACATCCTGTATATTATCGCGTTTATAGGTTCTGCCTGGAGAGCCGATTCCATCAATGCATCACACTCGTGGTCTAGGGAAAATGTATACAGAGCTATAGGGTGATCAAAAACAAAAAAAATCAATTTAGGAATTTTTTTGTGTCGAAACTATCATTATCGGTCAGAACGGCTCACATGTCCCTTTCTAAACTTTTGATATACTATCTACTGACATTGAATTGGAAATAAATCCAGGGTGGCTCAGGATTCAGAATTCTGATCACCCTGTATTTGTAATGATGGTGGAAGTCTTTTTTGAAATTTTAGAAACATGTATGTTGATATTTTGCTTTCGCTCATTTTGAACGTTCGGGATATATTTAGGAACTCGCATCAAGAATTTCTCGTATGTGATACCTTCGGGATGACTTGAAAAACTCACAATGAGAATATTTGACTCAGATTACGTTCGTGTCAACTGAACGAACTCGCAGTGAGAATATCTCGTTTACGTTACATACCTGATAGCTTCAGAAACTCGCAACAAGAATTTCTTGTTCACTTGTTCAGGTTACGTTCCAGCTAGCTTAAGGAACTCGCAGTAAGAATTTCTGATTCAGGTTAATTTCGTAATAACTCTGGGAATTTGTTGTGGAAATGAAATCGATAACTGGAAGGTGAGGTTTGAAAAATTTCTACATGGGACTTCAGGAAGAAATTCGCTTAGTTACAACACATAGCGATCTTTACTACCTCACGATAGGAGTTCGCATATGATCCTGATGTTGATCTCTATGAGATCTCGCTGGGTATTATAACAGTAAGCGAAATACATATATAATCGACTATTTTTTTAGCATTTCAGAAGTTATTCCATCAAGTCCTGGGGCTTTATTACCCTTCAAATCATGATATATCATATTTTTGACTTTCTTTTTTGCGGTTTGATATAAAAATATGGAATGAAAACGTATTGTCCTCTTTTCTTTGTAGTTCTGGGGTTTATTGATTTTGTTAGCTAGATTCTTACCCACGTTAATGAAATAGTTATTGAATATGTTTGCCATTTGCTTCCCGTCACTGACCAATTCGTCACCATTTTTGATATTTTGTAATCTGTCACCTTCATTTCTAGAAATGACGTCATTGACCAATTTCCACAATTTTCTTGATGAATTTTTTTCTTTTTGTACTTTTTTATTATAATTACTCCTCCGAGCATTTCTTATCAATATTTCTGTTTCTTTTTCACAACATAAATATTCTTTTTTCAACGTTTCATCTTCAGGATTTTTTTTCAATTCAATGTATAAATCATTTTTTTCATTTACGTGTTTGATCAGTGGAGGGGTGATACATATTTTTCGTTTCCTTTCATCATGTTTCATCTTCGAGTATATTGTTGATCTTTGCATTAAATCCTGTATCATATTTATCAATTTATTTATTTTCGGTATCAGATTCCAATAGTACTTCATTCCAATTGGAAATTTTAACATTTTGCATTAACTTTTTTCTATTGCTGTACCCACTTAATATATCGATTATTGTTATTTTTATTTTCATTTATTTTTATATTGTTATTCAAGTACATTAAAAGTTTTCACGTCTGATCGATCTTCACACTCATGTTAATGGAGGTCATTTCAAACAATAATCAAGTATTTGAATTTTATGATGATTGAATTCACTTTCAAAACAACATCATTTCCCAATTGATTAAAAAAATAATCCATACTCAAATTCTTTCAGCAGAACTCACTGTAAATAACCCAAGAGAAAAATCCCTTGCTGCTGAAATTCAACTGATAGGTGAAATTCTTAAGATACGCAAAATGTTAACATTTGCATAGTCTGATGTTGCAAAAAACATTCCTAAACCTGTTCACCGAACAGGTTACAAATACGAGGATTTTTGAATGTGATACTTAAGTACACTCCAAAACTGTATTTTGAAAAAAAAACCTGAACTACTCATTCACTGACCAAAATACAGATAACAGTATAACATTTTTTTTTTTTGAAAAGTTCTATTATTCCGATGCGTCATCGAACATTAAAAACCGAAATATCTCGAAAATGGCTTACATCAACGGATTTTCACGAGAGTATATTTTTTGCTTAAACGCGTGCATAAAATTACTTCCGCAACAAAAAAAGTTGAAGACTACATTGATAGAGTCTCAATTCAGAATTTTTTTCCACGCCCTGTATGATGAATGTCAATTTATCATACACCCAAAATTTATGACTATTCTTAACCATGAGAAGTGCATTAGGAGTGAGCGCCCTCTAATGGCCATTGTGAAAAGATGTCTGTATTCGGGTTTCGCATCTCAAAAAACCCCAGACTGTTGATTTTCAAAGTTATCCGTGGAAAAACGTCCATGTATTTCGAAAAGATCGAATTTAATTTCTCGACTTTACCACACTGTATCTCGGAAACGGAGCGAATTCAAACTGAGGTAAGTAAGGTAAGGTGAAATATCTGAAGATAAAATAATATCACAATATTTCTTCTTGTTGGGGATGCTGTAAAAGTTTTGGCCTCAAATGAGAACTCTTCGTTACATAGTCGAGCTTTCGTAAATAATTATTTCCTCCATCAAGACATCTATAAAAAATGGTATAAATAAAACACTTGTGGAATGAACAGGTGACGAAATACTTACTAACATGAGATTGGTGTGATCAATACATAACAGGTACATCATTAGATTCTTTTCAACTTTGCTGGCGAGGCATTCATTATTTTCACAAATATAAATAAAACACTTGTGGAATGAACAGGT